ATTAAAATAAAAACATCACAAGAATAATAAAATTAATTTATTTATTAAATATTAATAACACTTACTAATAGTGAGATGATTACTATATTCCAGATCATTTTCAATTTTTTTTTCAATTTGTATGGTTTCTTGATCTAATAATTTGCCAGAAAGAATATCACGTGAAAATAAAGTATATCCAGGAATAGCAATTCGAAATAAATTAATGATAAATGGGTTTTCAATTGTCTGGAATGGAAATCCACAACAAACCCATGCTTTAAGGAGTGCTTGGTCAATTTTATTTGATTTTGTAATAGGTATGGGAGTAATATGATCAAAATGTTTTGTAATTTGTGGTTGTTTTGCATTTTGTGGATGAATATTTGAAGTTTCTTCTAATAAAACTTTTCGCCAATATGTTTTAATTTCATCAAATATATATTCACAATTTCTGGTCAAATAGATTTTCATATCTTTTGATTGTCTTCTTGACCATTTCTCTTTACACCAATTGCATTTTGCTTCATAATTCACTCTTCTTAAATCTATACCTTTTTTAAAATAATTTCAGATTTCTTTTATTTTTTTACCTCTAGGATGTTTTCTTTTCTTTTAATTTGTACTATTTGCCATTATTTCTAATAAAGAATTATCTGATAAAGAATTATTTAAAGAATTATTTAATAAAAAATTATTTAAAGAATTATTTGATAAAGAATTATTTAAAGAATTATTTGATAAATCTTGTTGTGTATAGTAATTATCATTTTCTTCATTTTCTTCTATAAAATATAAAATATCAGACATTTCTCTTGTATAAAATAAATCGTTACTTGAGCTACTTATACCAGTACCAATATTATCTTTATCTTGTCTATTTGAATCATTAGACATAATTATAATTATTATATTAAAATTTTTAAATTTTTTTTCACATGATTTTTAAGTAAAAAAAAAATTATAGATTTTATTTTCGCGATATCAAGTGTGTTACAAATTTATTAGACAAATGCATAGCAACAGTCACATGTAAATCAATTTATTTGAGACATCAAAGGCAATAAATTTTGATAGATATTTATTTTTTTAAAAAAAAATCAATATGTTTCAATATAAATTGTTTAGATATGAATAAATAGATAAAATAACCTGATATTTTAAATGGCAAGTTTTAATTTTATTAATTTTCTGGTTTATTTAGTATTTACTTAAATAAATTAAATAAAGTTAAAATATCATTTATAAAGAATTCGAATTCTTCTTATATTTCAACTTCCTTCTTCTTCTTTTAGTCTTATAAATAAATAATAAATATTATCAAAATACCGATTTCATCTATCTTTTTCACATGCCGATTTCATTTGTTCTTTTTACATGCTGATTTCATCGATTTTTATTTTCTTCTTGCTAATTTTATATTTTTTTTCTATATTTTGACTTCCTTCTTCTTCCTCTAGTCTTACAAATAAATAATAAATATCATCAAACACCGATTTTATCTATTTTTTTTTGCACGCCGATTTCGCCCGTTCTTTTTGCATACTAATTTCATCGATTTTCATTTTTTTCTTGATAATTTCAATTCTTTCTTCTTCTGTTATCATTAAAATATCATTTATTATTTGTTAAAAAAATGAAAAAATGATATAAATATAAAATATATCAATGATATTTATGGGAAATGAACTAACCATTTTACACAAATTTGATTGTTACTGGTCTCATATTTACTCCTCCAATCGCGAAATCTACAATCTAAATTTTTTTTGATATCAAATTATTATTTAAAATTATTATTTTATTTATAAATAAAAAATAAATTATCATTTTCGACTTCTTCTTCTTCCTCTAGTATTACAAATAAATAAAAATATCATCAAATACCGATTTCATCCATCTTTTTTTACACGCCGATATCATCTGTTCTTTTGTATGCCGATTTCATCAAATTTCATTTTTTTTCTTACCAATTTCATATTCTTTTCTATATTTCAACTTTTTTCTTCTTCTTTTAATCTTACAAATAAATAATTAATATCATCAAATATTAATTTTATCCATCTTTTTTGCACGCCAATTTGTCCGTTCTTTTTGCATGCCGATTTCATTGATTTTCTTTTTCTTCTTGCTAATTTCAATTCTTTCTTCTATATTTCAACTTCCTTCTTCTTCCTCCAGTCTTAAAAAAAATAATAAATATCATCAAATACCGATTTTGTTCATCTTTTTCGCATGTCGATTTCGTCTGTTCTTTTCATGCTGATTTCTCTTTCTTCTTGTCAATTAATTCCTTTTTCTATATTTCGAGTTCCTTCTTCTTCCCCTAGTCTTATTAATAAATAATAAAGAACAAGGGAAAGATTTGAAAAAAGAAAAGAAAATAAATTGTAAAATCAGTTATCGCCATGTCGCCAATGCCAAATTGTCAAAATTACTATCCTGAAAAAAATAAAGTGAGAGTGAAGAGAAAAGACCAAGAAGAAAGCAAAGAAACAAAAATAAGGAACAAGGAAAAAGGTTTAGAAAAGAGAAAGAAGAGTGAAGGAAAAGTAAGTCACCAAAAACTTCAGCATGTGTACTTTAGTGACTCAAAAAAAAATAATTAAAAAGTTTTTTGGTCATCTGCGATCTGAAGCAATGGTGAAAATTGATTCACCAGTTTCACCAAGTTTCATCAATATCACCAGTTTCACCAGATCACCAGTATCACCGATATCACCAGTTTCACCAGTAACATCAGTTTCACCAAATCACCAGTTTTTCCAATGAGGATTGGTAATTAGTAAGTGGTGAGATTTGGCGCAACTCAAGAATTTAGTTACACCAACATCTATATTTATAACACTGGTTGAAAATTGATAAATTATATACACATCGGATACCCAATATGTACATGGTACATTCTTAATATCAGATATATATCGAGTATCCGATAGGTGTAGAAAATATTTTTTTACACTTATCAAATATCCAATATATATATAAAATATTTTTTACACCTATCGGGTATCTAATATGTGTATGATTTATCAATTTTCGACCAGTGTAATATGAAATAATAAACAGTTTATTTTAGATCAAGATCGCAGTTACAATATAGCACATAATATATATATATAATTTTTAATATATATTACAGATATAAAAAAACTAATCATTAGATTTTAGATGAGATATAGTTTCAAAGCTATGTTTCTTTTACAAGAATATGAAAAGGAACATTGAAAGTCTTTTCAAAATAATTACTGATTTTTTTTTTCAAGTTCTATATACACATATTCTCTATGTTCAATATCAATCACATAAAGATTAAAAGAAATATTTCTATATTCATTTAAGTAATAATTTCAGATTTTAATATATAACATCAGTAATTATATTAATTCGAAAACCTTCGAAATTATATCGCAACGTTAGATTTCGAAGGTTATCGATTGTGTC